CAATGGGAAATCTAAAATTAATCGATTATAATTATCACCGATCTTCGCCCACTATGCGAAGCAAATTTCAAAACCTCACGACTTGTAACTAAATTGGAAATGTTGGAAGAAAAACTAATTAAATCTCACCATTCCTATATCCACAGCTTAACATTAGAAAGATCTTTCAAACGCATAAATACAGAACTACATATGATCACAAATGCTCTTCCACGATCTCAACATAAACATGAATGGTTTGACCTACTAGGCACTGCTGTGCATACCGTCTTTGGTGTAATGGACAGCGAAGACGCAACTCATGTCAATTTAGCTTTATAACAATTACAAGAAGGTGCAACAAAAACCTCCCACTTGATAGATGATACCGTTTGTGTCGTGAAAGATACTATTAAATCATATAATGAAAATTCAGGAATCTCTAAAGTTGAATGAACAATTGATATCTGAAAATATTTACAAAATTCGAGAGAATTAAACTCGCAATCAAAAGCAATTAATTCTATTGAAATTTCTACCGAACTTTTAAATTAGCCGTCACAATTCAAGAATTATTATCTACTGTAGAACAAGAGATTGAAAAGATCAAAATACGATTGTGGGAACACTCGGTATAGCAAGAAAACGTTTATTGTTGTGTATCAATTAAGCCTCTATATTTGTACTGACTTAGTTAGGTCGCGACACACTGCGACTAACTAGGTCAACGGCAAATACATACACAAATGTAAAGTGCTGAAATGTCTTAGCCATTTAAACCATGTAAATAAATTTGTATAAATACCCTGTAAATATTCGAACGCTGATAAAGCGTCAACCCTTGGAAGCTGTGATTTTGTACCAATCATCAATGATACAGATAATGTGTCCAACGATATTATAAATCGGTTCTTCTCAGAACCACAACTGTGATAGTCACCTTTTACTACGACTACACACAGGGTGACTACACGATTATTATTTTCCAAATTACGAAAACTACCTCCAAGCTTACTTGAAAACACAGACGTATTGCAATCATTAACTATTAACAAAAGAATATTAAAAACAATCTGAATTTTCCTTTCATAATATCAGTCACGAATTTCTATAAATTTGTTGATTTATGTACAGTCAAAATGTTTGCTAACACTGACACTATTATATATAAAATAAAAATACCATTGGTCAACAAAGAAACATACACGTTATTCAAAATTCATCCCGTACCCATGAAATCAAAAATGAACAACCAATACAATATTTTAATTCCTGAAATACAATACATGGCATTCGATTATGATAAGGGAATTTATATTCCAATTCCTTTTATTAATCAACTTGGACAAGTTGAAAATAGATATTATGGACACCAATTAAATCCTCTCTAAAACGATGAACATCCCACATGCGAAGGTTCCATGTTACTCAAGAAGCAATAGACCCGCAGTTGCAACATCATATCTATTCTCCTGCGGGACAGCGGAGTAATACCTTTGGAAATGAGTCAATGGCTCATCCTAACGGGAGGACAATCAACATACACATATACATGCGGAAATGAGAACATAATTATAAAGGAAATCCACTCCAACAGCATATCGGAAGTAAGCAGATCCTGCACTGGGTTACTCGACAACCGAAAGACACTGACCGCCATAACCAACAACAATATGACCATTAACACTACCATCGAAAACATCCCAATACCAGTGCACTGTTGCATAGAACAAGAGGAAACCGTGATCAAACTACAATTGGAACCCCTTTAAATGCATTATCTGAACCTTGACGAACTTAATCTCAATAGACACAGACTCGATACTATACTACATGATGTGCGTATAGAAAGAAAACACAGCTGGATCCCCATTTATAACCGGAATTACTGGGTCCTACTTGGAAGCAGCTTCTCCGCAATATTGTGGTTCTTTGTTTGTGTTACTGTTGTTTCCCACAGTGCTTAAAATGCTTCGAATGTTTAAAAATATTTAAACTGAGAAATGGTTGTGGAACGCTTTGCATAAAAATATGCAACATAGTGAAAACCAAAAGAGACCAACTAACCATACGTTATTCCACAGCATCAAAAGCAACTTCAGCACCTGCCCTTGACACTTTAACGTCCCGAAACATCGACGAAAAGCAAGAAAAAATCAAATTTGCAAATTTGACGATATCAAAAAGACAAGTAAGTTTATTCGAACCATAAACGATGTTCCGTCGTGACAATTTAGGTCTACAGCAACTAGAAAGCGTTGGCAATAACCGTTCACTCCTTTACACATCCAGGCACTCATTTACCACTCTTAAACTGCGGTCTTCTGAAATATATGTTATGAGCATCGCGTGTATCGTCTGCCCGCACAACGAGTTATCTCGTGGTTGGGCGCATCAAGTAACTTCGACTCAGAGACTTCCGACCACGTGATAACTCGTAAGTTGTTTTTTCGGAAAAACACAATTATGTATGACTTAAAATAAAACAAATTCTTGGTTTTTAACACATTTTGGACAATCATTGCGACTTTCACACCATGGCGTCTGAGAGGGGTTTTAGTCGGTCAACATGTTAAACGAATAAAAAAATTAGATTGTAATCTTTGTGTGCAAAAATAGTTTTTTAGTAATGTCTAAACGAAGATTTTTACTTTGGAATAATTTGTTAACTGGTAGATTTTGCAAAACAGCAAAAGTATCGAAAGTGTCCATGTCCTGTTTTTATTTAACAATTTAAGAGCAAAGGTATGATATTTTGTGAATAACATTTTACGAATGAAACATAGATGATATCTATTTTAGGTATTAAATTAAAGCGACTAGAAATTTATTAAGTAACGTCCCACATGACGCTGCACCGACCGCCTGCTGACGTTGCAATAGCCTTGCTAGAGCGCACGCGCTATAACTTTTAATTGAACAAAGCAAATTATATGAAGTCGATTGGAGATGAAAGAGTATTATTTCCTGGGAGTATTACACATTTTTTAAATATTTTTTTAAGTACTTTAATTGTTACATATTTAGATTGAAAGCCGACCATTGGATGAATTAACGACTATTTTGAAAAAGTCATTGTAAAATGCATAAATTATTAAAAAAAAAATAATAATGTTTGGATCGGACATTTGTAGAGAGTATCCAAAATACATATTTAACCAAAAAGAAATATATAAAANAAACACTAGTCCAATACATAGCAACAGTAATCGTAAATTTAATTCAAATAATCAAAAGGTTTGCAATTATTGCAAAAACATAGGTCACTTGATAACTGAATTCAGAAAACGCCGATGTAATAATGAAAGCATAAACAGTCTAACAATACTAATTCTAACAATCAACCGTCCACTATAATTTTGCTACCGACAGGATATTTAACTTTGACGAGTCTGGCGTGTCTAAAATTTTGGCTCATAAATCACAGAAAGAAGTGGGACAAATCGTGTCAACGGAAAGAGGCGAATTGATGACATTTGGTGCAAATATTTCTGCAAGCGGAAATACTATCCTTCCGCTATTTGTATTTCCACGTGTACACTACAAGGAACATTTTCTTGAAGGTGCGCCTGAAGGAAGCCTCGGAGTTGCTAACAGAAGTGGTTGGATAAATGCTGACATATTTGTTTTAGTATTAAAGCACATTCAGAAACACACACTGACCTCTAAGGAGCATCCGATTTTACTATTATGTGACAATCACGAAAGTCATATCAGCTTACAGGCTATAACATATGCTCGAGATAATGGCATCAGTTTTGTGTCTTTTCACCCGCACACAAGTCATCGATTGTAGCTTTAGACGTTAGAGTGTTCGGCCCATTCAAGGCAAAGTTGAAAATAGCGTTCAATAACTGGCATATATCGAATCCTGGCAAAACAATCAACATTTATAATATACCTAAACTGGTGAAACTTGCACATTTCGAATCTTTTACTCCAAAAAATATTACAAGTGGATTTGAAAAGTCAGGTATACGGCCGTTTAATGAAATGGCCTTTACTGATGAAGATTTCGCTCCCATTAACCCTCCACCTCTGCGGCTGAGACACAATCTGAGCCGAGTGCTTATCTTCCCATAACACCAGAAGTCATAAGACCTTATCCTACAGCTGTCAGGAAGAGAGACACTAATAAAGGAAAAAAACTGGGTAAATCCTGTATATATACAAATCAGGGATGTAACGGATGTAGTTTTATCGGAACCGAAGGCGGAGTCGGAGTTTTTAAATTTGCTTTATCGGAGTCGGAATCGGAGTCGGAATCAGAGTCGGAGGCAGAGTCGGAGGCAGGGTCAGAAGTGGTGGCATGAGAGAGAATTTTTATTTAAGGACAAATAAAACATTATTTCGCCAAATTTTTTTCATTTCAATTTTCAATTATAAAATAAAACACAAACAATGAAAAAAAATTTTCATATTTCCAAATAAACAAGAAATTAAAATAAATGAATTTAAACCCAAACTACCCAAAGTAGCATATCACATTATATTAAATGAACAAAAGCATTAAAACAAATTAAATCAAATGAATTGACTCCAAAAATAGTGTATTATACTTTACGAACAAAAGCTTTGAAGCTTTGTCTCCGTCCAATCTATTTCTTAACGAGTCACTAAAAAGTTCTTCGCTCACTACCGAGCCTGGTGGCCACGACAAATATTGGTTGGCAATTGATTGGGGGGCTGGAATTTTGTATTTCCATTTACTTTCCACCACAATAACGGATCATTACTAATACTTATACGTTTTTCATTATTGAACTCATTTAGTATACTTTTCATTACAACAAATTTGTCAAGAACTGAACATTTTTCACGTGGTATTATCATCGTCTTCATCACTATTTAACAATATATTCGACAAAACTGTTTGGACATTACTATGGCTAGCTTCTGCTGGTAATTCCATTCTTGCCCGTTTTTCTACAGGAACGGCAATATTGTCAGCCTCGTTTTTAGATGTATCTGCATCAAATAGTGACATTATTTCTGTTTCAATCTTCTCTTTAACCACTTCATTAAAAAANTTCCAGCTCCATTAACTGCTTTTTTAGATCCTCTACACTAGCATTTCCTGATTTCTCTGCTTCTAACAATTTAGATTTCACTTCATTGTATTTTTTTTCATGTTCTTTCTTTTTCTTTTCAAATTCTTCCATTTCTTTCTGCCTTTCTGCCATTCTTTCCACTCTTGCTTGATGTCTCCATCGAAATAATGAAGGTGTATCAATGTTTGGATGGGTTTCATCTTCATCGTCTGAAATCTTTCAAGAATAATTATTATAAATGCAACCTTTAGAAGCTTTAAATTAATAGGATATTAAGAAAATCTTAAGGAAATAGAATGTAATTAATTTTATTGGTTATGTTCAAAATATGCAATATTTGATACATTTATCTTGGCTTTGCTGGAACTTTCGGCTAATGTATAATACATTTTATTAGTTAATTTTAGCCATCAGTTATCCTCAGATAATATAAATTGGTAAAAGTAAAAAGTTGTTTTAAATTTTATCAGTTTAAAACTTGTACTTACTTCAATATCTTTCCATTTACTGTAATCGACCATCTTCCTATTAATACTGTACACAGCACAAATAATTTCTTTCAATTTCTAGTTAATTTTGTACAAAATAACTTTTTCATTGACTTGTAAAACTTCTAACACGACTGTTGTTAACGTTCCAGACCATTCCGTTGACAAATGAACTACTTCACCATTCCACTAATAAACATTCAGTAAATTTTTTGATCTAAAAACTGAAAAACTTAAAATATTCGATCTAAAATCATTTACTATTAATTATTCAAAGTCTTAACGTTGATTAGAAATTCATGATACAACAAAACGACAATTCTTGTTAATTAATTAACATAATTAATCATGGCCAATGTATGTGAGAAATGCAAAAGAAGTTTTGGAGCGAATAGTCTCATAATACCATGTACAGTATGCTTCAAGCTCTATCATGGTACAGCTGAATGTACTGACTGCTCAGCCTCTGAAGTTAAGGTGTTTGCGCTCAAAACAGTTTCCCCGCTGTTGATTTTCAGATGCTCTACATGTAAAGACAGTAATAACATTAATCCTGCTTTATCTGAAACTCTTATTGAACTCGAGAAAGTGACAGAGCAGCTTAGCACTTCATGTTCCAATATAAATCAGCTTAGTAAAAGAGTGGAGAATGTTGAAAGTGATGTAAAAATTATTCAAGAGGACATTGATGAGATAAAGAAGAACTCTGATCTTGTGCCTAAAATGATATTTATTCTCTTAACAAATTTAGTTTTAATTATAAATAATAAAATTATACTGCCACCTTCAAAATTTGTTGTGAAATTTGATACAATATGTAAATGGTACCTTCAATGTACATCAATGTTTCCACGGCATTATTTTTGTCAAGACAAAATAATAACTAATATCACAAAACAAAATGAATGTCCTACTATATATGTTGAGAATTATAACTTAAAAATTGATCAATTTTGGTGACAACTAATCAACAATGGTAAACAAACTATGGACAAACACATATCGCTGGAAATTACATGGTTAACTTTGATGGAAGTATTATAATTAACGAGCAACCCTACTTTAAGGAAGAAACCAAGATAGAAAACATCGCTATCAATCCAATTATATACCGCCTTCCGGACCCAAGGAAGAAAATGGCAACGCTGAATCGCATACCCGACGATGCACAAACAATTAATCAATTATTACAAGATATAACCAACAAACCGATTCACCTACGAGAAGTTACCTTTGCTGCTCATCTCTCTATAACAGCAATTATTTTAATTATTCTCACTATTGCATTTATAATTTTATGTTGCTTAGCGCTCATTATCAAAAGTTACAGGGCCTACGGGAAAAGGAAGACAGGTGATAAACCACCAGAGGGAGAAACGGTAACGGTCTCACTCTTGACACTTACCCAAGGATTATTTGAATACGAGAACGTATTTCATATTAACAGGGGGAGAGTTATATCGACCTATCGACCCCACCTGTAGGCTGTCCCACTCCACCTAGTAAGACAACCAAAGTTATATAAGCGCTAATCAACATATTAGATTAACTCATTTTTTATAGACAAAAGGGCATTGTAATAACTGTTATTGTGTGTTTGTTCGGTATAATAATAAATATTGTCTCTAACGTTTATTAGTGTAATCGTTTTTTAAAAATTTAGTTTTGCTCGGCATTCGACAAAACTTAATGTTAGCGTTCATATAAATTGTAAGTATCATTTTGTTATTTCATGTGTTTAATTACAGTTATTACTTGCTGCATCTACACTTGTGTTATATCTCTACCTTTCCTCGATTTTATTAAGTCTCTGATTTCGAGACATATACATACAATATTTTACTCAGTAGCTACAGTTTGTTTAATTTCTATTTGCAATAATCCTGTTATAAGTCAGTTTGAGTGCTTTACACCTCTATTGATACAAATATCGTGCCGTTTTATGTCTTTTTTAATGTAATAAATCTTGAAAACCCCAGAAATTGAGTATTACGCCACGCTGCTGCATTTAAATTTGGAGGAAACATGGCGGCTCTCGCTCGTATGGCCATACTGTTACTATAAAGTCACTGTATTCGCGACAGGTTTGAGGCGCCATCTATGAATGTTAATTACCTACGAATGTGATTTTGTGCGACAACGATAATTTTAAATTCAATTTTTTACACAGGTCTTATTACCCGCACCTACCTTATTATTTATTATTACAACTCCTCCAAATGGTTTTTGTCCTTCTAGTTACGTATGATTCAATAGTCAAACGAAACGTTCAGTTTAAATTGTTAGCATACGAAAAAAAAAAAAAGAAAGAAAGAAATAAAGTATTACTCATGACGAATTTTTTTAAAATATTTATTTTACACCTTCTGCAGACTAGTATTTTTACCACAAA